GCCGCCATGTGCCATGCTTTATTTATTTTCAGTTTGAGAAAGTTACATGAAGATGATTAATAGTTAGAAAGACGAAAACAAACTTTCAAAAGAAACCATATCTTTGTCTCACGCATGTATAATGATATGTGTACATACAAAACAAGTCATACGTGAATAATTGACGTGTCTGGCGAAAGGAGAAAAAATACAGTAAGCTAAACATAGTGAAGTATTGTTCATGATCAAATAAAAACTACGCACTCACAACGTTGTGGGTTTCAATTTAACAATATTTGCATATCTCCACTTATCTAGTTCAATATAAAATAGTATTACAACAATGTAACTATCACTTTGAAAAGATTAATTATAATATATAATATTGATAACTTACCACTGTAGATATACAAAACATTTTCTGACATTGGGTCATTGCCATTATTGTTCGTTCAATTCTAGACAATGCAACATATGTGGCTAACATTTGATGCGCCAACAAAAGGCTTTTATGCCATCCCATTCGAATAAAATGTTAACAAATATCATGTTTACCACTACGATTGTGTCAACTTAATAACTCTTGTTCATGGAAACCAATAGCAAATGTTTCAGCATGTCATTGTTTGTTTTCGTGATATGTTTGTTTTCTATTTTTCTTAGCATTAATATTTAAACTCAAAAGTGACATATTCTCATTTTGAAGGTACAATTACAAATTACAATTTCTTTTATCTTCTGGGCCACATATGTGCGCTTTATGGCAGTATAGGTACTTGCATCAATAAGTTGGTATGCCACAAAATATCTTCGTGTCGTGTTGATCATCTGGATCAAAGTTATATTGTGTCATCCATGGGCAGGAAATCCAAGGCAGTACACGACGCTAATGGTAGCCAGACGAGACATTGAGTCCTCGTGACCTTGACCTTTGTCCTTTTCCGTGTCACACATTCATATCTCAGACACGCATCTAGTCATACGTTCCTTGCTTTAGGTGTATGAAACAAAAGTTGTAAAAATATGCAACTACTGTTTGGATAGGTTACCAGTAATCAAAGGTTAGACCACCTTACTGAAGATCATGGGGGCTCAGAATACCTCTACTTCCTGCATGATTCTAGAGCAGGATTTATGTCATCACTTTGGTCACCAGTGGTTGTTCGTAAATTCTAAACCAATATTAAAAAACAAATAACAATCAAAGGAATAAAACACTAGTTGATATTATGAATTCGATCAGTATGTGACTAACAACAAACGATCCACAGTAACATAATACTGACTAAAAAATTGACGTTTCCTCTCAACAGTTATTCCATCATTTGGTTCAGACGTTAAGGAATGTGACCCATCAGGTTCAGACGGAGAGTACTGGCTACGTCTTCCGAAGTTTGACCTGTACAGGCCCCGCATCTACTGCTACAACATGAGCACAGGCAAGCCACAAGAGTACCTGACATTACCAACTCCTAACTATGGAGTGTTCCCGAATGTCTCCAATATACACTGCAATGGAGAAACAGCCCTGCCTAAGGGGTGTGATGGGAAGGCAGAGCAAGATGGTACAACAAGATAAACATCACCATTGACGTATGTATCTCACACAAGCATGCATACCCCGACAACATCCACTACCGCCCTTGATGTGGTGAGTTTGTTTTTGTGTGTGAGTAGCATGGACGTTCTTTGAACAATATTAAAATTTGTTCAGGGGTGTCACCTAATCATAAAATCCACGAGCATCTTCAGTGCTGGCAAACCAATGACAATAATTTGGGCGAAAAAGGGATTTGAATGATCATATGATCCTCACACGCACTAGCTATGTATGTGTAGCTATGCTGTTGCAACGGCTCTGAGATAATTAACTGGCCAAAGCCAAGACCCTCAGGTATTTGTCACATTTTCAGACCATGATGGTTGTACGCAAAGATACAACTTTTGTCACCTTCACCAACCTGTACGGGATTGATAATTATGCCTCTGCGAGAGACTGATACAGTATTACACTATAAAGGCCAGTTCGCATCGTGTGGTACCAAGGGCAAAATGCACTGTCAATATAACTGGAACGGGATGGGTAGTCACAGAAACTGTAAGTGATGATTAAGTCAAATTTCGATAGTTTTACGTAAAGTCATGACAACCTACAAAATCCTGACTTTTAGTAAACTGTTTAAATAATGTATAGGGTTACTTTTTCTCGAATATTTCATCAAATATATATTGATGATAGTAACCTGTGAAGACCCGGGTTAGAATAGGTCTTCAGCAACGAATGCGTGTCGTAAGAGGCGTCTAACGGGATCGAGTGGAAAAGCTTATCCCATTTGCGTCGACCGATGCTCATGGTGTCAATGACTGGATTGTCTGGTCCAGTCTCGATTATTTATAGACAACCGTTTTATATGGAATATTGCTGAGTGCGTCGGATCGACGACTGGTGACACAAGGATCATTTCTCATGATTAATTAAGCAGACGTATGTAAATAGGGATGCTTTAAGGATTTGTCAAAAAATGACCGCCGAAATCGACGAATTTTGGTTTTGAAACCAGGTGGCTTTTGGATGTCTCAGGGATGATCATATCATGTATTTCTCTTGTACAGCCCTTGGAAGTGTTGCTGACTCAGTTATGCCAAAGTCATCCTTAAAAAAAACTCCAGAAGCATTTACTGTAAGTCAGTAAATCTTGGTACACTTTATTCTCAAGGCGGTGTTTTGTCACCGTACTTCGAATTTACCCATGTCACAGTCAAGGTTACCGCTTTGCTCCCAGGCTTTATTTCCGGCACCGCTCGGCAAAGTCCGGCGGTCGTCGTGATACAGTCAGTACCTTCTGTGTTAGAGATTTAGTGGCCCGACTATTTCATTCCATTAGTCTGGTTGTACTGAACTCAACTTAGTTTCTAGGGTTTGTAGTAGTTTTGCTGGTAATGATAACCATCCTTCCCGTGATTGTCTAGCTATTTGGACATTTTAGCATTTCCTTGTTCAGTCAAAGTGACTGAAACTAGAGTCGATTAAGACGAGCTGACCCAAGTAGCCTAAGGTAAGGCTTAACGTCACAGTTCACCGTGATGGTGTTTCGTAAAGTAGGTTTGCCATTTTCCATTAAATGTCTGAGGATTTATGTTTGAAAACGTATGACTGTAGTTGTTATATCATTGGGATACTTATGTGTAACAAGTGATGACAATGCAATGGCATCAGCTTTAGCCTACTGTGACCTGCTTTCAGCGAGATGCATTTGCTAATCTTGTCATTGTTTTATTTCATATATGGTTTAAAAAAATTGGATACCACTATGAATGTTCTTGAAATACTTGTCATTGATGCTAAAGGTCAGTTAGATGCATATGACTTTCAAACATTCAGCTTTTTTAAAACCGGAAGTGAAGTCATAAAACCGGATGTGCTTATAACTTTCTTTTTAATTTTGCTTAAGACATGAGACTTCCTGTTTTAAAGTTGCACAGCATATGGCATGGTCTTTCCACAACCGGAAGTGATATAATTCGACCGGAAATGTATATATCCGGAAATATATATATGTATATTTCTTATCATAAAGGTAGTTGAGAGGCATAGGGCACAGGACATGTTTTGAAATTGTCTTACGATAGGCAGGTATTTATTTGAGGTAGATTCCCCAATATTTTAAACAGACATAAAATATTTTAACGCTGATGAGCTTGCAGTAGGCTTGCATTTCACCAAAACGAAGCTAATGGTATGGCACTAGAAATGCATGTAGGTATGTTATAATTTCTGGGGAATTCTAAAATTGACGATAGTGCTTCAGCCAAACAGTTTTCTTGTTATCCTAACAAGTGTCTGATATCGAAAATATAGTTGACACAGTTATCAGATAAAAACAACAACTGAGTGGCGGTAATTACGTAGTTTAAAATGTTGTTTTTTAGACGCAGCAAAACAACATTTCATTTATCTTAATGGGTGTATATATATGTGTGTGTGTCTATGTGTGTGTATATGTGTGTATATGTATGTAGTTGAGTCAAAAATGTAGCATGTGATTTGTTATTTCGTGGTATTAATATTTACACATGGTCATAACTTAATCCTCAACTGTGAGCGAGAATAAGGGGATTCTGTTTTTGTGAACATGCCATGTTTGCATTGTTTTCTTTGACAAGACTTTCGCAAACATACATTTGCCTTAAATATCAATGGGTATATACGTTTGATGGTTTTCGTATATATTTTCAGCAAGAATGGAAAGTCTCGGGATATGAAGCAATAATTGAATCAGTAACCCGTGACGACACGAGATCTGTTGTTCTCATCAAATGCGGTGGCTATGCGGGACGTTGTTCCCCGGATGGTCCCTTATGTTAAAGCCTTACACCGAAGAAGTTAATAATCATTTCGAGGAAAGTATGTTACCCGCATTGCAACGTATTGCACATTGTTCCCTCCTACCGTAAAATTCTATAAGCATAATGAATTGAAAACTTTTTATTGAAGACCTTTATTCTAGAACTTGTACAACGTTGTACACATAAGATGGCGAATCTTCAGTCCTGTTTTCATGATTAAGGCTCCGAGAATGTATTGAGGAATTAACACCAAATTCGATTTCTTTATTTTTTTATTGAAAGATCGACCAGAATCGTTAGGCAGCCACTGAGTCAATGGTCACACCAATCTGACTAGAATTTTCCTCCGTGGCTGATTTCCGAAAATTGACTTAATCATTGATTTGAATTGGAACTTAAAGTAAGGTTTGGAAGCTATTGAATGTCAGAGTTGACGGGTAACTGTACACTGTATCAATGCAACGGAATTGAAAGTGAGACCTTAATTGGTGACATTTATTGGTGGAGATGTTTGGAGACAGTTGGGGTTATACTCCCAGTGAAATGAGGACAATGTAATGAAAATCTGACTTCAGTTGTCTTTCACGTGTTTCTTCATCCAATTTGTGGTTGTGACTGCATTTTTTAACAGTAGATCACATTATGTGGCTATTTGTAGATGCCAAATAGCCTTATCTTAATGGGTTTTCAGTGTCAGGCCCATTTGGGCCTCCTGACCATGGTAAAGCTGCAATATTGCTAAAAGCCGCCAAAAAACCACTCGCTAGTAATATCAAAATAACAACGATGTTGTACTATATACATGGCGTTGTCGCTTATATTTACTTGAATAAGTGCCAAATATACAGAATAACATGTTAATGTAGGTATGAATATTCCTTTTAGAAATACAATTAAAAATAAAATGTTCGCACTTTGACATTCCTCTTACCCTTAAAGAACAGGAAACTTCATTTAATGAGTCAGTAGCTTGCTGCAAGGTCGCCTCAGAATTCTTTGCCTCTATGTTAGGGGGTTGCGAGAGCCGAAACAACATACCTTAACAATCATATATGTCAGCATTTCGAATCAAATCATGAATTCAGTTTGATAATTGGTCATTTAAAGGTAAAGATTATGCATGGCAGGAATGAAAAGAGCAGTCGTATGTTAACCTCTTTTGATAACTGAGGTTCAAGTATAACTTGTGAGGGGGCATGTCACCTCCCTAGCTGAGGAATCCGGGATAGCTGTAAAAAGATAGGTAAACAATATGAGCTATGTCGAACATAACTGGTTATGTTTTCTAAGCTGGGCACAATTATACAGTTTTTTGGCTTTTAATAATGGACTAGTGTGGTGTTTATAGGTAAACTGTATTATTTTATGAGCTACGGCGGGTTATGGATTATTTGTCACTTAAAACTGATAAGTCCGATATTTCTTGTAAGACAATCGCAAGTTTGTGATCAATTAAACCGCAAAGGCTAAATGAATCTTTTTGTGAAAGAAGTCAAATAAAATGAACTTCGCGCTGCTGAGACGTATGCTTCGAAATGCAATGTATTAGCCAAAAGGTTAATTTCAATCGACTCATAAACACACAGTGATAAAAATAATTCCCCAAATATCTGCTGTTGCGGCTACTATTTTATAATGAATATCTCAACCCTATGTCAAATTTTTCTTCACAACTCATAAGGACTTACCCGTTTTGTAGAAAGGCTTGAGCATCAAGCCGCCATCGGGATAGCAATACCCAGGGAAGCCACCACATTTTAGAAGAACAACAGCCCCTGTGTCATCTCTTTCCATCGATTCTATTATGGCACGCCATCCTGCTGCTTTCCATTCTTGCTGAAATGGCAAACGCTCAACAGAATTGATAAGATTATCAATAGATGTAAACTACTCGGAACATATGCACATGACATACGTGATGAGATTTATGAGTGATTTTATTACCATCTCCATACAGGAATAAGAAACAGGAGTCTTCTCAGGCACCTGTAATCGCTGAGAATAGTTTCTTTTGGTCACTCCATAATGTAACTGACATACTGTTCAAAGAAGTGTGAAACCCAAACGCACTCATACGCTTACTATACGCGATACCAAACATAATGGTTCATATTTCAGTAGCCATGTCCTTATATATCTAGTGAATCTGTTATCACAAGTCTTTGCAAGTCCGAACAACAGTTTTGAGATACATGTGTTAATGTTTTTTTCCTTTTGTTCAATCTGAATGTTCCTTTCAATTCTATTCCTTACGTCTGGTCCTACGATCCATCCAGTGTTTGTCAGGTTCACTGTAAACTCGCCCCTAGTTCCACATGATCTCGGTACACCATAGTGTGTAGTGAAACAGTCCGTGGCTTCGGCGTAGTTTAATTCCTGATTAGAGAAGTCGGCAAATGTCCTGTCATCACGTTGAACATTCATGTTCTGTGAAAACACATGGTTATCCTTAGATAATTATGTAACATATTCAGTTGTGGACTATGGCATTCAACTCTTGTTGTAAATGTGAACAGGCATATACAACACCCCATTTAATTGGATTAACATGTGAGGGCTCTGAGGGTATTCTTATTCATATCTCTGTCACAAACATGAATGAGACAAAATTACTGAAACAATCAGAGCAAATTGGAAGTGACAACCGCAAAAAGAACACCTATTTCACAGGTCTTGACATCCGCCACAATAGATCTAGACATAATACTTGTTACAGACATGTCAATCTGAAGGTTTTTATATCATTATGCTTGTCACAGACCAATCACATGTGCAGATTGTCATACCATCATATTGGTTACAGACATGTCATAGATGCAGACTGTCATACAATCATACATTTCACAAACCTGACTAATCTGCAGATTGCCATACGTCCATACTTGACTGTTAACAGATATACACCAGTATGTGTCAATGGCTGACAATGGCCGAAAGTTGTCACATGTACGTTGACACGTGCGGATTCAGGCTTTTTTGAAAAGATCATTAGTAACCCGAGGCTTGTCCTGCGAGGAGACTTAATGATTGCGTGCCATTGTACCCCGACGATGAAGGACGTTCTTCATAATATCAATCACTGGTTTATATTATTTAGTGCGGTGTTCAGCATAATATGTCAACTATACAGAATAAGGGGAGTGTGAAATAATGTATATGGGATCGAAAAATGCTCTATCAATTGACCATTTACCTCAATAAGGACTCTTATTTTGTGGTAAAAGGCTTCACCGCCGCTTCCTTTACAGTTGAGGACTAGCGATGTTTCTTGATAACAGCCGTTGTTTGACACATTCGGATAAATTCCATAGTTAGGAGTGGGCAGTGTCAGGTACTCCACGGGGGTGTCTGTGTTCATGTTGTAGCAGTATATCCGGGTTCTGTACAGGTCAAAGTTCAGCAGACGCAGCCAGTACTCTCCATCTGTGCTGGAGGGGTCACATTCCTTGACTTCTGCACATGATGATGGTGTCGTCACTGAAGTTGAATGAACGTTTGTATTTGTATATAGGCGGTGCCACTCCTCCACCTTCTAAGTATGGTTAGTGACTATGTTGAAATGGACGCTGCCCTGGGACTTTGGCCAAGCTGTCTGTTTAACTTAAGCTTTAGTTATATCAGTGATCTGATATCGTTCCATAATGTACCCCCCTGAACTAGAAATATAGGAAACTAGTGAAATAGCCGTATTTGTTTCAAATTTAGATAAGTACATTCAATTTAAAAGTGGCAAAAATATCCTCAAATCTGTATGACAAGAACGATGTTTGTGTCAGTTGTAAATAATACCTTACATTCCTTCGATAATATATTAACCATAATCTGATGAAATTACACATAAACGAAAATTTCAATCAAGAAAAGAAAATGTCACTCGTTCTGCCTTGGATGTGCTGCACACAAATGGGCATTCAAACGCATTCCCTAATCAACCTTTTCATAATTTTGTGGTTTTAGCAAGTACATCGTTGCATACTCAAATGACCTTTTGCAATTTATGTGCGTATAAATGTATTATAGTAATCATATCAAGGCCACAACGCAAAAAATAGTATTTCTCTAAAACTTACCAAGTCTCCTACATGTATACTCGACCTTCCCCAGGGGTTCACAGAAACCGTTAACTGAACAGTTGTGATTGGCGCACGCTCCTGCAATTGTCTGCAACGTTTACAAAAACTTTACGTTTTGGGGGGTTTAATATAATCAATACTGTTCGGTTGCAGATCCCCTGTGAAAATACAAAGCCTTTTCTCTTATGTAATTTACGTCAATAGTATATCTCTATTACCAATATATTACACTTCGGTTCGCTTTGGATAAAATTAATACTTCGTTTACCCTTGTAAGCCATTAAATGTGCTTTTTTTATATTACCTTTGGCCACAGTGAGATGTCCGAGAAGACAAACCCAGGTGTTGTCACCAGGTAGCTGGCGTTAAGACCTCCAGGTGATAACGTGGCATGGTTCAGCTGACAGTTGCCAGTGTTGGTGTCAAAGTTGAAAGACTGACACATTTTAATGGACATACAATTGTATGCGCATTTTACTGGTCCCTCTGTCGTCATTGAAGCAATTTCGTGGTTGGGTAGTTTGTTGTTTTGTTGAAGAAGCGGAAAGTTACTGGACTTCGAACATATTTTTGTAGAATCAGCATGATGTTGTGAAAGAACCAATAGAAGGAATATCCCATCTAGGATACTACCTGCTCCCATCACTGCCTCCATTTTATGCTGCAAAATTGAATACTGTCTACAGCTGATAACACGTACTGTAGTGATCACTAAAACGCTTACATAATCATATTCTTCATTCTCTACATGCTGCATCAAATACTCGTCATTACCACCACTGTCGTTGTTGTTACACAGCCTGGGAGGAGGCCAGGAATGGATTAAGTAAGACAACACCTTCTGAATAATGGACTAGTCCTAACTGGAGTACATAGGATTACCACACAGACCAAGTGAAATGTTATGATATGACTAAAAGGCAACTAATCTGACGAACATTTTTTCAAGTTCGAAAATGCATATCCTACACCAACTTGACTTGGTTGTGGTTCAGGGAAATTTGACAGCAAATCGCTACATGAATCAAATTCTTCAAACGCCACCTCTTTCCAATTATTGACCGTCACAAGGAGCTGTTTCAACAGGACAACGCTCCACCGCGCACGGTTCGTGTCACGGTAGACTACCTTCATAATGTCAACATCAACTCCTTGCCCTGGCCGTCGAGATCTCCAGATCTCAACCCAATCGAACACCTCTGGGATGAACTCGATCCACGTGTACGTCAATGTCAGAACATGCCGCTGACACTCCCACAACTGGCTAACGCGTTACAAGCAGAATGGCGCAGAATTCTACAGGACAGAATTCGTACACTTATCCAGTCAGTGCCGAGGAGATGCAGAGTCGTGATTGCTGCCCGGGGCGGTCACACGAGATACTGAGTTCAGCGTTACTTTGTTACCTTATGTGACATGACAATAAACAGTTTTCAAGGCCTTTGTACAACGACAACATGTGACTATCGAGCCCCAAAATTTCATATTTGTATCTATGATATTAAATTAAATATATCGACTTTATTAGGTACAAAAAATTTACTAAATATCTACCTGTGCGTTTCTTTTTTTGAAGAGTGTATATGTTGTACACATGCGTATAACGAACTACGAGTTCGTTATAACCGTAGGTTAGTGTATATATCTTTACATAAGTACATAAAGTACACAAAGTACAAGATTATTTTTCTACTTCTTCTTGGATCACTCCATTCTGATACTTAAATAACATAGGGTAGACCAGTCAGTGCCTTCATCCATGACCTATGTTGTTTTAATGTGTGTGACAAATGGGACGTATAACTAACTAATAGGAGGATACCTTTGACTCAGCTCCATAGCCGTGACGCTGGGAAATGGCAGCATGTATACACTTGAGGGAGAGGCTTCTACTAATTACCGTACCACTGGTAGAGACCAGTAGACGTAAGCGCGGGGTTGTGTATGAGATCGATGGCCGTTGCATAATGGCCGCCAGGAGAGTTAAACATTGAGCTAAAGCAGTGTTGTTTTCACGGGCTTGTTGAAGAAATTCCCAGCGCTACTGTCAATATATCTTCTACTTTGACACATCATTTTGGCATATACAATACAGTCATATTTTTTCAACGTACATTAATAGTTTACTGGTCATATGTTTCAGAGTATTTGTCAATTGTGTTGAGCTTACAGGCAATAAATGTAAATGTAATGTAAAATATAAAACGTCTCATGTAAAACATGAAGTAAGTACGATAGTAAATAATAATATTCAAATCGAATTAAAATACAATGATAACAAGATACATATGTAATCCTAAAGCTTGTATTCCAAATTCACCGCCAGGAGGTAAACTGATTAAATACAGGGAAGAAGCTTGCCCTTACATATATGTAGAGACATCATCTGAATATGACTCGTATATGTAAATTTTACGATACTCTAGCTATCTACACGAACTATTAAGAAATGGACATAAGGTCACGGAGACAAAGGCTATAGATACTATACCATATTCGATTTTTTACACTATTTGATATAATAAATTCAGTTTTTGATATCTACAAATGGATTTGCGATATCAGGAAACATTTCATAATATAGTAAAATCAAATTTGTGATATAAATTCTTTATTTGGTATCCATAAATGAATTATAGATATCAAGTAAGGAATAAATAGTAAAAAGACGTCGTATATATTGTTCTTTGTAGATTGTATTGAGTAACGCGATTACATCACGGTTATGGTGTTAATTGCTGGTCTTGTTTCTGCACCATCATTTCTTTCATCATGAACATCTTTTTTTAAAAACTTTTAATAAACCAATGAAATAATACTAACCCGACCTGCATTTATTTATTTCTCTGTCATTATTACATGTTGACATGTGTCTACTTTTAAGTGTATTTACGTATAATATACATCGTACAGAGTAAGGAATGACACACCATCGTAACATATATGTACTGTATATACATATAGCACGCCGGTACTTTGATGTTATAGCACCCGTTACCCCGAACTACTGTGTAACGGTTCACCCCTTGTTTTCAGACGTCCCATTCAGACAAAAAAGTCAGGTGTGACAGTTATCACAATCTCATATAAAGATATGATACATGCCGACTGACACTCTTGATGTGTCAGTGATTAAGACAACATATCAATACACACGCTTTCTACCTATTCAGTATGTATGTATGATTACATGGCTGTATGTGCGCAGGGTAAGTATGGCTGTATGTACCATTACATGGATGTATGTATGTAAATTATGGGTGTGTATTTATGTATGCATGCGTGCGTACATGATAATATATGAATGTTAATACAACAAGCGGTGCGTGTGAGGATAGATTTAAATACGTTTGACATATTAATATATTTCAACACCTTTTTAAACGGTAAAATTAGATAATTTAAAAGTTAGTAGCATATAAAACTTGAAAGGTCAACAAAAAGATATAATTCTTATAATAGAAGGCCCATAAGGGTATTTAGAAAGGTACCGTAACTCGTTGCGAAAAATAGTTCTCTTGATATAAATACTAGACATTTCCCTACACCCAACTTTTTTCACTATTTATTAAAAAAAAGTTAATAAGAGGATGTTTGGTGGGGGGAATAGATGTATTTTTTCAGAGAATGCTACAACGCGACAATGTCCCTTTTAGTATTCCATATATAGGTACACGTACTAAAACTGGAAATCTTACAAATCCACTAGCATTATCCTACCGTCGCGTTCTGTATTATTGCCATCAAGTAAACAACCAGAACGGCCAAACACCAAATGGGAATACCTCCTCTGGGTGATCTCTTAAATTACAAATGGGCAAAGTGACCGTGGGTATTTTTATGACGTTCATGAAACCATAGAATAGGGCATTCACAATTTACGCACGCTTTCTTCTTAAAGGGAGAAGATGATCTCATGAGCATTCCTTTGCCAATGTCAAGAGACCATGAAACACATTGTTTCAGACAGCGTGGATACAGCTTTAATCCGTCATAAATATTTTAATGTTTCTTCTATGAAAGCACTGTTTACTCAAGTTCACAACCATAAGATGATTAGCATTCTTGAAAGAAATTAATCTTTATGAAAATATATAGAGTTTAGTCCAAATAGTCAGTTTTATTCGTTTTTCAGACAGACAGTTTATTCAGTAATTTAGGCATCAAGGCCCATAGTACAATGCAGATTGGATATTAACATTTCACAAGACCAAATAGCGTCCATTCCAATTTGGAATGAACGTTGGAATGCTTTGGAAAGATCGGTCATTCCAAACTTTCCAAAGCTTGGAAGGATCGATCTTTCCAGAAAATCCAAAATTGGAATGGCAACATTTCCAAACATATTTCCAACACAGGAAATGTTTGGAATTGTTTGGAATTGTTTGGAATTGTTTGGAATTGTTTGGAAATATTGTTAGAAGGAACAAGTTAAAATATGTTATATCAGTAATTTGAACAATAAAAAGACTATGAATTATTTATTGAGTTTAAACTATATATAATAAATAATAAATTTATCTCAAACATTCACCATTGTCTGTCTAGCAAGGGGCTTTTACAGTCGCATTCTCCCTAAGGTGAGAGAGACTTGACTTGACTCGAAAAGACACTTACTTACTTACTTATATTGGAGATTTAACGTGCGCTTTCCGACTGCAAGCGTATGTCGCACACGGGCCCGGCCAGGGTATGTGTGCGTGACTTTATAAGTAATTTGGCGTGTGTGTGTGCGTGTGCGTGCGAGCGTGCGAGCGTGCGAGCGTGCGTGTTCATAACCTAACCTTAATTTTAAACATTGTGTTAGTATATGTCTTATTTTACCTTACCCAGATCATGGCGTTATAATTTGCTTTTATGTCTAAGTGTCTCGTAGACCATACCTGGTCGGATGTTATATTTTACTGTTCGTGTACGTGTTTTAGTATGAAGTGTATATAACATGTGACACTATAATAAACATTATTCTCTCTCTCTCTCTCTCTCTCTCTCTCTCTCTCTCTCTCTCTCTCTCTCTCTCTCTCTCATGTGTTTCCAAAAAGGGGAAAAGTGAGTTTGTGCAACCCAGGAGGGGGGGGGGGGGGGGGGGGGGGGGGGGGGGGGGCTTTAGGGTTTGCTTATTTTTGAGGGCTTGTAGTCCACTGAGGGAGTCGGTTAGGATGAGGTTCTTTTGTTGTTTTTTAGATTGCTGATTGTGTAGTGCTGAGACAACTAATAGGTCTCAAGATTAAGTATTCGGCTGGATGGCAGCTGCCATTTAATTACAAAACAGACAGTCGTCTAGACGGCTCACATGTAAGTGCGCCGACATGTGCCTAAGATCATAAAATGGACAATCTTTGGTAACATCTAATTTATTGTTATCTCACGCCAGAGCTGTGAATAATTCTGTTCATTGAACAATTGGAATTCAGGAAGTTATCAATAATTGTTTTACTTAACATAAGATAAGATAAGTTTTTTACAACATAATATTATGATGTCAGGACGTACTACAGTCAAAACCATATATTTTAAAATCAATTTAATGACAGACTATGATTTCCAAGTCCCGATTAGCAAATCAATGAGGTATCAGTTTCACCACATGTGCACAGATCGCCTATACTTATATATATATTTTTCATAACTATTCTCCAGTTAAAGTCCTATCCTCTTATCAAAAAATCTGTGAGAGTGATCATCATTAACGAAACTCATTCTCGTCAAAGAATACAGAACAAATGAAGAATCAGATGCATACATTTGTGAATAGCACTTAAACTGTGATAATGAATTTTACCATTGTCCATATTATATTATAAATATTAACCATAATATGTATTTCCGAATATATAAACCGAATAATAATATAATATAATATACCGAACAGTCAAGCTGCGATCTCGGAACTGAATCCAATTGCAAGCGGAGACAAGATTACTTCCCTTACCCAAACATGATCGTTGCTCAGAAATGTTCAAATCTATCTTAAGTAAATCATGAAATTAATGCGAGCATGACATTTATGCGAAAAATGCGATCGTCAGTCCCTCTGATTATTTTAATATGTTTCATTTCATCATGATAAAAAAGTTAGTCACTTATAAGGTTACCACGTTGAAAATGGAAACGATCGTTAACAAAAACAACAAAATGTATTCTCTCATCACTCAGCCTAACAGTGATATAACTGCAAATTAAACAATCAAGTGCGCTAAAGTATTACACATGGTGGGTGGAGGACCAGGGGCACTTTGAGTTTGACAGGTGTCATCAACTGGTCAAGTAACATCACGGTTTGTATATTCACGTTGATTGGACAGTCTAGACTTGCGGCGTCATGACGGCGTCTTCAGAACAGAACAGAACTTTATTTCTCCCAGGTTTAGGCTTACGTGGATAACGGAAAATTTTGTTTAAGTGATAGCACATTTGTAATTCAATCTAATATACTTTTCTTGATTGATTATATGGCTGCGGTCGTAGATCCGGATGTATCTAAATATGCTCAGTATATACACAGGGTTTATTGTTATACTATTAGGATTAATAGATACAATTGAGTATTTATACCCTTGATCACTACTTTCACATTTTGATTTGTATGATTTGGGTTATGATTAAATTGACAAAATAAGAAATCATTCCGTGTATATGTGTATTATATATTGTACCCCAATATGTATTTAAATTGTGTATAAATAAGGACACTAGGTTAATTACTGTAATTGATTATTTGATAAACATATTCACATTTAGTTGCGTGATATGTCACAGAGGTAAAGCTAATTCATAACAACTAACTGTCCCATTTATTTGGCTTCTATCTTTTATATGAAACAAATGCTATAACATGGGATGATAAACTTCATTGGCAATAGACGTAGCATATAATTGTCCGCATGAACAGTCTACTCTGTTCCAGATATGTTTATTCATTTTGTCAGCATTTAAATCGTTGCATTCCTGGCTCAATGATTCATTTGACGAAATCTTGTTCCCTGTTTTGAATTACCGTCAGATAGTTCCAGAACAATTATAAAATTCCCAGCCCTATGTGTTGCGCATAATTCCAAGATAATTCGAAGTTCATATTCTTGTACGAACACTTATCAAGATTCATTTATTCCTAGTACTATTATGAACATATGTATATTAGTTCAAATTATAATAATGAGGCCCTCTATATTCTCGAAACGGTCTTTGTTTTACGACAACCGTAAGTCGGTATGGGAAAACAAAATATTTGTTTAATTGTTCAAAGTTCATAGTCTATGTCATATGATTATAGACAAGGAAGATAAGAAATTAAATATAAAGAGTAGCCACTTTAAATGACAGAAATTCTTTTAGTTAAATTTGCTCATGATTTGGTCTTTTCGTGGTACATAGTGCCAAAATACTCTTAATTATTTACTTTCATGTCATTACTAATCTCACATAAGGTCAAGAGTTGTACAACGTTTAACAGATATGATTATGACATGTTGTATCCAAACATTTCCAAACAAATCCAAACAAATCCAAACAAATCCAAGCTTGGAAATATGACCTTGCCAAATATTGGAATGGTCATATTTCCAATTGGAATGGTGGTATTTCCAAGTTTTGGATTTTTTGGAATGGATGATATTTTGTCCAGTGATTTGTCACGTGATGTACATGATTAGATGTTAAATCAAGTTACACATTCCTTATTATAAAGACATGTTTTAAGAATACAGAAACAGCATGGATCATATCAGGATTTTCAGAGATTAGCAGATTTATCACGGTCTTTAAAAATACCTTGCAACATAGGGAGAAATTTATACGTAAAATGGGAATACGTTTCACATATATGTAAGACATGGTATTCATCCTCTAATTCTCCGGATGAACAGTTTGTACAAAAAGAGTTCACAATATTACCGTCTTTGGACCTGCGACATACCTTAAAATTGTGCAATGAAATTCTAAGTTTACAATAAGCTCTGATTAAAGTTTTATCATTTACACAAGTTAAATATCTTTCAGTTTGTATCAATGATTTTACTTTGCTGAAATATCTAAGATAAAGTGATTCAGAAATATTTTGTTGACAAAATATATCCTTTACTCTTTGCTTAAATGAATATAAAAATCTCCCACATCTTGGGAAATCCATACATATGAAAAGCCACCAACAAATAATAGATTTCTCACATCTGAAACCCAATTAGTTTTACCATTATCATCAAGTACCTTTAACATTTTGTAACACTGATATGGGTATCTATCAGGCATCATTCTAAGTAATTTAATCCAATACTTAATTACCCTTAATTGGTTGGCTACAAAGATATTACTACGGCCTGTTTCACCAAGGGTTGTCTTGTTTGAGGCAAACTTACCAACACCTAGAAAACATTTGAAATATGAAGTGCGAACTTTTTCAATTGCAGGGTAATACTAGGCAACCCATATTTCAGAACCATACAATTTTATAGGCATAATTTTACCTTCAAAAATGGTACATGCTGTTAAAAATGACACACAACTATTTTTCCTGAATACATTATAAAGAGGCATAATGGCTTTCGACGCCTGAACAGCTAATATCTTACACGCCATAGACCATGACAATCTAGAGGAGAACATAAGACCCAAATATTTATAGTAAGTGACAACACTCAAGGCAGACGAACCAAGAAACCACTTTTCATGTTTTGCAACATTACGACCTTTTCTAAAAGCTACTGCATTGGTTTTATTCAGATTTACTTCAACACTCCATTTTGAACAGTACCTCTGTAACACATTTAACTGTTTTTGCAAGCCATTTATGGATATTTACGTCTATGGTACACATAACTGTTACATGCTACAGCAGAAATGCTGAAGTTGCTTTCATTAAACTTTGATTGATTGTTATAACTGTATCCAAGACTTTTCGCATTTGCAAAATAGCCGTGAACATTAACTTATTGTAAATAAATAACTCTATACGCCGAAAACAACCAGATGCATTATGTTAACGATCACAGCTATATATCCGTCCTACCTGGAGGGTTTATACGGTATTCAGGATATTGAATGGAAAGTTCTAACTATTATACTAACCTCAAACTGTTGTACCTGATCACGTCGGACCTCGCTACGCAGATTCTTCAGGCAATTGAAGAACGCAGTAGAGTTGACAACGCGCTGAAGTATCGACCTCTCCTAAGTTATAGACACGTCTAACTCAGAGAACAAAACCCCATCTCGTAAAATATTTAATAGCGTACGCACAGCTACACACAGGTAAAAGGTTAAAAATGATATAAAGACAGACAGATTGCATCAAGGCGCATTGATTTTGTTTTGTTTGTTTGTTTGTTGTTTAACATCGCACTCACCAGAATTCCAGCTATATGACGTCGGTCTGTAAATTATCGAGTCTAGACCAGACAATCCAGTGATTGATATCATGAGCATCGATCCACGCAACTGGGATACGATGACATACATCAACCAAATCAGCGAGCCTGACCACCCGATCTCGTTAGTCGCCTCTCCGACAAGAAAAGTCGCCTCTTACGGCAAGCATGGGTTGCTGAAGACCTATTCTACCCCGGATCTTATGACAAAGATAAACCAACTGAAGTTTAACACTAAGCAATAAACCTAACTTAATCCTTAATGCTTTGAGTAAACAGTTACACAAGTCGAACTCACACAGCAAACGATACGTGTAACAGGCTAAAATAAACAGGTTAGCAACAATGATAGTAAACAAGTAAGTACTAATATACAATTGACCCGTTCGAAAGACACAGAGAGTATTAAATCTACAGGGTATATGTCGCCACGAATAGGTTAACAGGCTGTCTTCACTGGTGGAGAGCGACTCCGGCCTTTCATCTTGCGACAAAGAACACTGTCGCGGGCGTAGGAACCAAGTTTGTTCAGTTTATTTCTCTGAAAAAACACCAACGGTGGTACAAGAGATTATAAATATATATAACATATAATATACAATGCAGATCACGATGGTAACAAGCCTCAATACAAAAATAAAGAATTAAAAAAATTAGGCACTTTAACATAATAATGTGTTCAAATGTACAATGAATCTGGACAGATGTTTCAAAGTGGATATATTTTTAGGTGATAACGTTTTACGCAATTTACACATATTTGGCCAGATATAACAATTCTTTGGGATGTAAAGAAGTTGTTGTTGGAGAAGTGCTTCACACCTAAAAAGATAGTGAAATTCGTCTCCAACAGCAGATGAATTGCATAGTGTGCAGACACGGTCTTCTCTCAATAACCCTCTCCATCGGCCGGTTTCAATGGGCAAATGATGATTAGATGTACGACATTGTAAAATTGGCAAGTAGATAGTTTTGGGAAGTAATAGAAAATTTTCGAATTTTGGTAATTCTTTTAAATGTGGATAGTATAAACCTTTTGAACTTGATAAGATACATTCACGCCACTGTTGAATAAATTCGCCTTTAAGAGTTCTCTCGACCTTTGAAATCAGCAATGAAGTAGAGCAAATAGACGGGTTTATGAATACTTCGACAGTCCGACATCATTTAGTATTTTTTTAACTGTGGCTATTCACTTAAACGATTTTGCAGTTGCATCTTAGTCTTTATCAAATAATTTTATAAATATTTAGATAACTTTGTGGGTCCGTTATAATTCGTTAATTTATGCCCGAAGGAAATCATGCGTTTAAATACTTTCTATTTTGAGCGGTTCCCTGCCACGTTCGCCATAAAATTGGGTGTTGAATTCCTCAGACCAGTTACTATTTTAAGAAATTTAATCGCATTTTCTCTATGATTTCTCAATTTTCAACCCCCATATTTCGGAGCAGTAGAGAAAGATTGGCACTACCATCACATCAAACGCCTTCAATAAACAATCTAATGGTAGGTTAACATTTCACGATCTTTTTATTAGGCAGTACATTGCTTTTGTCGCGTTTGCTCTTAGTGATTTCATACAAAACACAAATTGTCTATTTATGTGAAAATTTATACCAAAATATGTATAATTATCAATAATCTCCAGTATCTTTCCCCCAAAATGAAATATTGATTTGGTTGATTTGGCTGGACCCCCTCCAAAGATTATTATTTTTGTTTTTGAGATATTTACATTTAGCTTCCATTTTAAGCAATATTGATTACAGGAATCTAATGATTTTTGTAATTCAGATTGGGTATCGCTAAATATGACTGTATCGTCTGCATAGAGTAATACTAAAATATGTAACCACACTGTGATGTCATTTCTTTATATACAATCGAATCAGATCCCTTGGCATCCTTGTTTTGTAAGATACGGTTCAAGATCATTTACAAATATTCAAAACAATAGTGGTGATAGATTTTCGCCCTGTCTAACACCTGACTGAGAAGGGAAATACTCCGATTCTGCATTATTTGATTGTACCATTGATTTAATATTACTGTACATATTTTTAACTAAAGTTAGGAATCGGCCCTCAATTCCACTGTTTTGCATTTTAGACCAGTCCTACTCTCCAGACAGTATCAAATGCTTTTGTAAAATCTATGCATGCACAATAAAGTTTTGTTTTTGATAGTTTCAAAATATGCATCGACGAATGGATAACGATTATATAACATATTATATTGCTGTATCAGCAGTTTGAAATCGTTTCCTAAATCCCGACTGTGCTGGAGTTAGGATATTATTGGAATCTAGAAATTTTGTCAGCCGTTCCTTTAGGATACTGGTGAATAGTTTTCCGGAACAGCTTAATATCGTAATAGGTTTATACGAGTTTGGATCAGATGGATCGCCTTTATTTTTGAAGATAGGTTTTAAAATTCCCTAGAGCCACGTTTCAGGGATTACAACACATGAGAGTACAAGATTGAAAATGTCTTCAGTCGTTATATCATCGTTTAAGATTTTACAGTCATAGACAAGTGTTGCAGTTGCACATTCTTCTAATTCAGAATCATCAATTTTGTTTTCCTTTAAGTTTTTATATAAATTATAGAAGGAAATTAAATTAGGAGCTTGCGGATTTGTTTCTTTCTTATATCTTGTTAGGATCTGCCAAAATTCTTTAGGCGTGTGGTGAAGGATTTGGCGAAAAGTCTTATTTAAATTGTCTAGTATATATTTAAGCATATTCTTTTCCATACATTTCTTTAAGCCTTTGCTTCTTGGTGATATGCTAATATATTAAATACTGATTTCGATCTTTAAAGACGGTGTTTCGCTTCATTAAATTTCTTAAGGGATCATCTGTATTCTATTTCGAACTAAGGTTTATCTTTTTCGCGTTGTCTGAATTTAACACCGTTTTCTCTGACTCCGAATGTTGCTCGTGCAGCGTTAACAAGCACGTGCGCGATTTCATTCGCGAGTCTATTTACACTCGACTGGTCGCCGTGACCTGTCCGTGCTTCGTTAACAGTCTTCATCAGTTTATTTATCTGTTCAACATTTATATTCTTTATGTATATATCCGATTTATCAAGGTTGTAATGTTTAGGTTTGTTAGCGGTATTTGTATAGATGCATGGTAGGCCTTTACATGGATTACTTACAGGAGGTTTGACTGCGCTAAGTGTAAAGGTGAGTGGGCAGTGCACGTCTGGGTTTAATTATATTAAAAGCAGAAAAGAGAGGAACGCACATTTGCGATACAACATAGTCGATAACACTTTTATCTTTTCATGTTGTTTTACCTATCATTTTATCATTTCCTAGCGTGCCATTACAATAAACAGATTTAATTTTTTACAGATTTCAATTAGTTTAAAGCCAAAGTTATTTATTCTTTTTTTGTCCTGTGTTGCTCTCACGCGTGGCAACCCAAGTTCATCGAGCACAGATTCGGGGTTAAGTTCTGATCTAATTTCATCAATATCCAAATTAAATTCTTTAATTATGTATTCGTCAAGAATTTCGTACTCGCATAGATTATTTGTCCGGGCATTAAAATTCCCAATTAAAACGACGTGCTAACTTTTTGACATAATATTAACTATTGATTGCTCAATCTCATAATACGTATCGCTTGTAATATACTTTGATCATTCGGGTGGGATATAAACAGACCCCAAGCACAGATCCCGTTCAAAACTAAATAGTGTTTTACATACTTTAGTCCAAAGAATGTAATCGCATTTTTCTTCAGTTACGGATATATAATCTCTATATTTACTTTTATATGCTACACCTATACCACTCGATCGCCTTACAGTACCCAACCTATTCTGAAGAAAAAGAGTATATCCCGATATATTTAACTCATCCAAACTGTTTTCGTTTCTTGAAATCCAAATATGTCTCTTTTACCTGTTAGTTACTTACTTACTTACTTTGGAGATTTAACGTGCGCTTTCCGACTGATGCGTATTTAGGTCAATAAATTCCTTATATACTAGGCGATGTCTGAGGCCACATGCATTTAAACTTAAGAAATTAAGACTATTATTTTGGTCAGTACAGTCATCATCATCACCATCACCATCACCATCACCATCATCATCATCGTCGTCGTCGTCGTCATCATCATCATCATCATCATCATCATCATCATCATCATCATCATCGCCATCTTCACCAGCGACAACATCATGTGCAACAACATTGGCATCATTATCACAATTACTAGCAAATTCCGAACCATGATGTACAGCATTTTATATTATTAAGTACAGATTTGTTTTTCAATAATTTACATGAAATTTTTGCTTCATGGACTGTGTTAAAAATAACTTGGGTACAGGCATGATAGTTCAGGACATCTGTGACATCATTCGTATTAGGTACATCTGTGTTTGCATATATGTTTGGGTGAAAATATTTACATCAGTTAAATTGGTTTCCTTATCTTAGGAAACATGGTTATTCAAAATATTTACAGAGTCCATTGTATCATACACATTGTGAACACCATGCATTTGATTTGCTTGCTACATTTATCTTAAAGGCTTCTTGTTTGTAAGTTGTGTGTGATCTGTGGTATTCAGAATAGCATATAGATTTTGAGCATGCTTTGTGTTTTCTGTTGAATTAACTATTACATTTACATCAGAACAATTGTCAAGATTACATGCAGTAGGAGCACAGGTAATCAGTGCATTTGAAGAGTTCATGTTATCAAGTACTTGTGGACTACATTAGTGTTTACAGTTGTTTGACTTGAGACATGTACCCCAGTGTGTGTGG